CTGGTGGGGAGGGCACCAGCCCCGGCTCCTGAGCAGGGACCACCTAGACCCTGGGAGGTGCAGGGGCTGCGTGAGCAATGAGTGCCCTTTGCTGCTAGATCCAGCACCCGGCAAAGCACCCCAGGCCCACCTGAGCCAGGCAGCAGCTGCGGAGAGCAGCGTGACCTGTGCTGTGGACACAGCTGGCCACATCTCTTCTGCTGTGTCTGACACCCAAACGTGCCTCCCCATGTAGATGAACATGTGGGCACAACCTGGCCTCAGTCTGACCGACAAGAACTCACACGCTTCTCCGAGTACCCTGAGCAGCCGCGGGTTGTGTGGTGTAAGGCGACTCGGCCATAGCCTCACCCAAACCAGCATAGCAGCGACTCAGACCAAGCTTAACACAGGCCTCAAACTGAGTGACGGGGGACAGTCAGCCTCGAATGGTGTCTCCACTGGGGCAGGGGATTAGGAGACCAACCATGCCGGTTTTCCTGGGACATGAGACTCTCAGTGCTAATACTGGGAAAGTTCAGGGAAAACCAGGGTGATTTGGTCACCGTAATGAGAGTCACTCTTTTGGCCCATTTATTGTCTCTGTGATTAAGAGGTAGGCTGGCGGGAGAGGGGACCGCCATGACCCAAGTGCTCTGCAATCTCATTTCTGACATATACCATCTCTGGGTGCATTTCCAAAGGAAATGAAACCAACATCTCACGGAGATGTCCGCACTCCCACATCCACCGCAGCAGCGTTCACCGCGGCCAAGACACGGGATCAACCTACGCGTCCGCTCACGATGACTGGAGGAAAAGCACACGTGCTATATATTTACAGATACATATAGATACACAGAGCGAGAGAGGAATGTTATTCAGCCATGAAAAGGAGATCCTGCCATTTGCAGCAGCATGAAGTAAACTGGAGGACAGTATATTTCTCAGTGAAATAAGCCAGGCACCGAAAGGCGAATACCGCGTGATCTCACTTACATGTGGAATCTAAACAGTTGAACTCACAGAAACGGAGAGCAGAACGGTGGTTGTCAGGGGCCGGGGTGAGGCTGGAAATGGGGGGATGCTAGTCAAAGGGTACAAACTTAATCAGACAGGATGCATCAGTTTTGGGGTCTAATATGCTGGGTGGTGCAGTGCTGTTTTCCGGAACTTGCTCACTCCCCCACCCCCACAGATGGTAACGTGAGCTCATGGGTGTGTTGATTTGATTGTGTGTTCATTTTACACGTACACGTATGTCAAACCATCACATCGTATACCTTGAATATGTACGACTTTTATTTGTCAATTATATCTAAATGAAGCTGGAAAAATTCAATTAAAACAATCGCAACAACAAAACTAAGAACAGCCCCAAATATCTACCACCGTGAAGCAGGTGAAAAGCTTGTAGTCTATTCACACAGTCACATAACGACGACAACGAACCGAGCCACCGAGAACGTGGACGAGTTGTCCTGGGAGCAATTACAGGGCTTTCCGTAGCAGAGGCCTGGCCGGGGCAGCCTGCTGCAGCTGGGTGGGACGGCGGCGCCAGGCCTGGGCTCGGGCTGGCCCCTGGGGTTGGCATGGTGTTTGCTCTTTTCTGGCACGTTCACGTCGCATGCCCTTTGCTGCATGTGTTTTGTTAAAAAGAGCATTAGGAGTCACAGATAGAAAAGGCACCTCTGGGTGGGGAGGGGCGAAGTCCCTGGAGCTGGGCTGGAGCTGCAGGGGGTGACCATCGGTCACCTGCCCAGTGGGGCCTCCCTGCGCTGCCTCTCCCACATCCCCCAGGCTCTTCCTTAGCTGGCCCTGCTCATGCTCCCGGCTGCAGCTACTGGAAAAATGTCCCACTGGGTTTTCCTTCCTGCCTTTCAAGTGCGAGCCCAGCTCTCAGGTGTGCGGCTGTCTGCAGAGGCTGCAGCCTGCCCGCCCTGCCCTAGTCCACCTCTCCTCTCTGTCCCCAGCCTAGACTGCTGCTGCCCTCCCCCTTGGGATGTGCTGGAGCCCCAGGTCCAGGAAGAAGGCGGAACAAGCCGGCCCTGTTCCCCTGCCAGGACAGGGCAGCACCAGGACCATGGCGAGCAGGCGGAGGGGCCCGGGCGCCAGCACACAGGCTGCTGGCAGGCGCCCGCCCCCACCTGGCAGGGGCCTCCTGGACTTCCTTTCCCAGATGAGAACATCCGGACGTCCGGTGGGGGCTGGGGCGCTGGGGGGGTGCAGGGGGCCATGTGGGCAGCCCCCCTCTACCCAGCTCAGGGTCCCTTTCCTCCTTTAAAACCAGGCAAATGCTGCTTCCTGAAAAATGTCCATTTTATTTTTGTTTTTTTCCTACTTGCAATAGCACTTTGTACAGCGTGCAACACAGACTTGGAAAACAGGGGAAAGGGTAAGACTGTTTCCCTACCAGACGCCCCGTTAACAGTTGCTGTGGATACCAGGCATTCCTCGATGAATAAGGTGGGTTTAATCTGTAGTCCTGACCTACAGAAGCGGGGTCCCATCTGCACACTGCTAGTCCTGACTTACAGAAGTGGGGTCCACCAGCACGCTTCTCAGGAACCTGACGGGAGCCTGGGTGTTTGCTGGGGTCCAGCACTGAGCCAGCTGGCCACGAGGGCCCGAGGCCCCAGTGGACCTGTCCAGCCCTGGTGTCTAGCCCAAGTGCCATCAGAATGCTGTGCAGGGAGACCCTGGGAGACCTGCCACCCCAGTCAGGAGGGAGATGGGCTGCTCGCTGGGGCACTGCAGGTGGAGATGTTACACGGAGGCCCACGGCTCAGCCTGCCCTGCGGCGCCCCCCCCAGCCCCTCCCTGCAGATCCTGCCATGCAGGGCCTCCCATGGCCACCCACTGGCCTCCTTTGGGGCCTTGGCTCTGCCTGAAGCCTGGAGCCCAGGCCTTAGGGTCAGTTCTGGCAGCTTTCTCCTCCCCACCAAGCATCTGCTGCTGAGAAAAACAAGGCTGCCACCTGGATGTCACAGTCCCCAGAAGAGACTCACTGGCTGCCTAGAAAAGTTTGCATGGTGGAGAGAGCCGAGTGTGGCGGGGCGGTGGCAGGCAGTCCCTGGACCCAGGTGTGCCCGCAGCCCCTCCACACCCTCCCCTCCCAGGCCTTGGTCTTGGCCAGTTGGCCTCACCATGGAGGGGGTGTTCCAGTTCCCTTTGAGCAGGCAAGATTCTGGGGTGGGGAGTTGCTGGTCACCTGCCTGGGCTGCACCCTTGGGGAGGCCCGGGGGCCCGGGGCACCGATGCCTTTCCTGCAGGATGGGCTGGCCCTCTGCTGATTTGGGAACAAGCACAGAGAGGCCGCTCTGGTGGCATTTCCGACTTGGATGAAACCAGGAAAGAGCGGAAACGTCCTGGGGAGCCTCTTGGAAGCAACTTCCAGCTGAAAGTGTGTGACCTACGTCTGCCTGGTCTCCTGAGCCAGGAGCCAGAGCAGAGGAGCTGGTCTGAGTAGGGCGGGGTGGATCTGGAGGGGAGCCAGGGACCCCTCCAGGCCTCTGGGGGCCCCAAGAAGCCAGCAAAGCAGCACCCCAGCTCTGCAAGCATCAGATCGAAAAGGGCGGCGCCTCGGCTCCCTGCTTTGACTTCTCTGCCAAAAATTAAACAATAAAGCCCCTGAGGCATTTTATAAGCTTGTTTTGAAGAATGTAGGCATGTCTTTTATTTCCTGGCAGCTTTCTGGGTCATTAGGATTCCTCCCACAGGCACAGTTGGGGGCTGGCATCCTGGGGCAAAGGGTGGGCAGGGCCTCCGGGTCTGCAGGGGGACGAGGGAGGCTGGCCCTTGGCTGAGCACCCCCCGTGCAGGGCTGGGCCACAAGTGGCTGCAGAAGGGGTGATAGTAGTCGCTGTCACCTGAGAGTCTTCCAGTGCCTCCGTGAGGGCCGGGGTGGGGCCACCAACCGGGAGGCGAGGGAGCTATCACCAGGGACGGCCAGGGTGACTTCCTGGAGGAGGGGGTGTCTCAGCCGCATTCAGCTCCCAGATAGGGGGAAGGGTGGGGGAGTCCCAGGAGGCTGGGGAGACAGCATGGGAGTGGAGAGCCCGCCCTGCCCTCCCTCGCAGGCTACGTCCTCTCCCTCCTGCTGGCTGTGGGCCAGTGCTCCCTGTGCCCAACCTCTGGCCTCCTGTGAGCACTCGTGGCACTGCCTGTAGCACTGAGCCCAGGACTTGGGTAGGGGGCTCTGGCATCCCCCGCCCCACCAGAGGCCACCACTCTGGGTGTCAGCCACCTGCTGCTGTCCCCTGCTGTCTCCCCCTCACATCCTGTCCTGCCAGCTGTCCTCACAGCCTTTTCCTCTCCGGTGGCCCCTCCACCTCCTGTGCAGATGCCGCTTCTGCCTCCCTGCCTCACTCCTGCACATCTGGGTCAGGTGCCCATCCAGTCCCTGTGCTCAGCAGGGTCAGAAAACCCAGCCCTCAGAGGCTCCTGGACATGCTGGCCCGTGGGCGGTGGCCCCATGTCACCTGGGCATCCACACCTGCCTCTGCATCCATCGCCAGCCTGGGCTACTGCCTCTTGTCCTCTCGAGACCTTGCCACGTCAGCCTGGTCCACACCTCAGACAGAGGGGGATCCTTGCAGACTCCTGTATCTCTGCAGTCGCCATTGAGTCCACCGTCACCTGCAGCCACTGCAGTCAGAGGTGACATCTCAGGTGGCAGGAAATGCTTGCTGAAGGATGGGTTCGAGGGCCCAAGGGGTCACATCTGACCCTCAACAAGCCCCTGGACAAACTCTGAGGACAGTGTGGCTCTAGGCTGCCTGCCGTGTGGAGGGCTTGGCTTAGGGGCCTGGGCCTGGACTCTGTCCCATTCCCACTCCTTGTACCCGGACCGGCCTGCAGGGCCCTGAGGCTCAGGGGCAGGGCAGTGGCTGCAAACAGCAGGTGTTTAATAACAGAGATCTGGCTGGCTCCAAGGCTGGGCCCCCTGCAGAGAAGGAATGGGGGTAAACTGGGTAGGGCCCCACCGACTGCCTGGGTGCAGTATCACCCGAGGGACCTGCCCACTGCTCTCATCCCCATCACCAGTTTCAGCACAAGGAGACCGTGTCTGGCCTGGAAGCCAGTGGGCAGAGGGAGTGCTTGCAGTGGGGACTTGTGGGGGCTGCTTGTCCTGGCCACCCTTTCACCATAAGTGGGAGGCCGGAGGGGACTCGAGCCTGCAGCGTGGACTCAGAGAGTGCAGGGTCCTCCAGGAGCAGGGGCAGGTGATGGGTGCCCTCAGGGGGAGCAGCGCTGCTCAGGTGGGGTCCTGAATAGGTGCCAGGGGCACCTGGTTAAAATGCCGACTCAGGGCCTATCCAGACCTTCAGAAGCAGCCCCCCTGTGTGATCTGCATTCCTGCCATGCCCCCCAGGTGGTCCTGGAAGCCCACTCAGAACCTGCTTTGGGGATGTACAGTCTGGAGGGCTGCCAGAGCTAGGAGTGGTCCCCTCTGGGCTGAGCCTGGGCTGGCTGGAGTGGCCACATCCATGTAGGACAGGGTGTAGCTGCAAATGCCCTGCTGCGCAGCAGAGGGTAACAGGGAAACACCCTTGAAAAGCTCATGGCTTGGACCCAGCGAGCCCGCCTGGAGGAATTTGCTGTAAGAGGAGGAAAGAAAGGGAGGCCTGCGCTGAGGTGTATACGGGACAAAGCACTCCACGGCGTCGTTAATTCAGGGAGACACAGAAACCACCTAGCAGTCAACAGCCAGCAACTGGCTAAACCAGTTCTAGTGTAGCCATAGGATGGAATGTTATATTGTCCTTAAAAAGCATGTTTTCACAGCAGATTTAAGGCATGGGTAAACTCTCATCGTGTAACACTGAAAGGAATATGCAAAGTAGAAACCTGTACGAGATGGCAGCCTCAAGTTTGTTTTGTAAAACTTTGCATGGGATTGAAAACAGATCAGGAAGAAATTCACCAAAGTGGAAAAGTGCTTATTTTTGCATGGTGGAATTAAGGATGCACCCTCCCAAAGTCAGAGGATGAACAACGAATATTTACAGATCAGCTTCTAGGAGCTTGGAACACAGTGAACAAAACAGACAAAAATGATTTAATACTAAAAATAAAGTGCATTGCTGCAATTGGGTCTCGACTCCTTGACTCAGAGCAAGAGCTCAATGCAGGTTTTGGAAGGAACAAATGAGTAGGTGAATTAGTGGATAAGTTAACGGTGAATGAACGCACTGGGTTCCCATGGAGAGTTGTCTGGGAGGACATGGTTTAGCAAGTTGGTCACTTACCCACCAAGAAGTTCTATCTTCACATTGTCACCTAGAGCTGAGGAGTGGGGACGTGAGTCAGTCCCAGCTGGCCAGGCATGTGCCTGGGTTCTCTGGCATAGTGCAGATATTGCGGCGTTCTCACCAGAAGGCACTCACTAGGGCCTTTAATTTGATAATGCCGTGTTTTGATATAATGTCAAACTTACAGAAAAACTGCAAGAGTACTGCAAGAAACCCCCTTAAACTCTGTATCCACAGTCACCAACTGTAGGCTGGCTGCTTGGCTGGGTAGAGCACAAACTTATAACCCCAAGGTCACAGGTTTGGATCCCCATACTGGCCAAAAAAAAAAAATCAATTCCTAGCATTTTCTCCCATTTCCTTTATAATTCTCCCTCTTGGTATAAATCTTCTCATTATAAATTTTCCCTGAACAATTTAATAATAAGTTGCAGGCATGATGACCCTTTACTTCCTAAACATTTTATCGTGTATGTTCCACAAACAAGGACATTCTCTCATGAAAGCGTATACAATCACCCAAATCACGAAATATAAGATCGATGCAACACTATCAATACCATCTTCTCCCGAATTACATATTTAATAATTTATTTACTTATATCAGTGTGAACTCATGGACTCCTCCTTTATTTAATGGATTAAAATGTTACTATCATTGTTTATTTTAATGCTCAAATCATCCCAGATGTGGCCAGTGGATCCCCTTCCAGGTGGCCTCTGAGTCCTTCTGACACATCTTCATCCCTTCCTTATGTTACAAGATATTTCAGGCTCATTTTGAGCTTTTCTTGTCACAACGCTAGCATCTCCAAAGAGCTTTGGTTCTTTTTAGCAGAGACTGGTGTTTAGCAACCAAGATCTGAGCACTGCAAGTACTCATTGCAATTGGGGTATTTTTGCTTCCATTTCTCCCAGAGGTCAGAGCTAGGAAATACGTGTGTATGTATATATACATATATGTATACTTATGTCTATATCCACCTATCGTAATAAATATATACATACATATTCACTATTAGTTTATGTCCGATTCCAATCCAACAAAGACCCACAGGTTTTATTTTATAATTCCTCCTTTCTGTGTCTGTAACTCCCGTCTTCAGCAGTGAGGCTCACATTACTCTCAAAACATTCACTCATTTTCTCGATAGTTTCAGAATTGCTAACCCACACCACTGTGAAAAACAAAGCTACCATTGGAGTTTAATATTTATTTACCATTCTTTAAAATTTAATTTGCATGTATATAGTCAAAGTATTGTACTAAAAATTACTTGCTGAAATTAATAGAAAATAATAAAGCAACTATCATAAAGATTAAAAATATGCTCAGAATATAAAAGAAAACTTTAACATAGTAAGGGGAGAAGTAAAGATTCAGAAAAGATCCAAATAGAACTTCTATAAGTTAAAAAAAAAAAAA